TGCGGGTTCGAATCCCGCCGAATGCCGCGAGTTTTTTCACAATTAAGTCAACCAAAATATAGGTTTTTTTGTTTTGGAAACCTCGAATGCAGGGGTAACAGAAGGTTATGTGCAAAGATTTTAGGGAATAAAGCATGACTTTAAAACAAAATGGTGCCGCTTTATGTAACGGCTAAGGCGTTACAGTTAAAGGTATGATCTGCTACTAAATGACTGCACTAGAGTATACTGTTAGGCGTGTTTATCTTAAAATCGAAAATCAACGAGAAATACGTAAATTTTTTGACGTCATGCATTTAGGTCACGCAGGCGGCCAAACGGAAGCAAGTTAAAAATCCGAATTTCTTACGTAAGTGAAACAATTACAGATTAAAATTCATGAAGATTGGCATTGCCAACTCGTTTAAGTAATATTTTAAAATTGAAAAACAACTTTTCGGCATGCTGGTTAATATTTCACTAGATAGCATATCCATTGTATGGACCCTTTTGACAATGTGTGCATGCAGCCACCCAGAATGCCCTAATAGTTCGTCGCCAACAAGTGCCGTGTTTGGTTAATAGCGGACTGAGATTGCCGATAGACGCAGAAGACAACGTATCTATTATGAATGCGGGTTACAAACCTCCAACTTTTACCCAGGACGTAACTCTTATTCATTCTGTTCTGCCTCCTAGGCCAGCCAATAAATTATTCAAAAGCGACGACATTATGACATCAGAAAAGCAGTATATATCTTTCTGCTTATATTATCTTCTTTGTTTTGTTTTAAAAACAGATAAATGGACAATAAAAGGAGTCTGAAAAAGACATTGGAAATGCTCATTCTTCTAGCATAAGTATGTTTTGTTACTCCAGTGAGGTGCTGGAACACATGCGCAATATGAAATATGCATACCATGGTACTGATCCCAGAGTGCTGCCTGAACCCTAAAAGTAACCCTGACCTTAACCTCAAGGCTTACTTTTTAGTTAACTATATTCTTTAAACCAATGCTTACCTCAAGCCTAACCTTAACCGATTACTTAAGCCTTTTATTGCGCTCGCTTTGAAAAGCAACATTAATATAACACGCCTACTTATATAAAAAAAACAGGCGCGTAATATTAAAAAAACTAAGGATCTTCATATTTTATCGTCATCAAGTTTTGTTTTGTAATAACTATGTTAATGGCGTCAAACAGTTGAAGAGATATATGACTAAGAACGTGTTTTGAATAACGCAACCGATGCTTAATATTGTTCGGCACTGACGTAATCATCCACGTGCGGCCTTGTCTTTTTAATCTCTGTCGCTAATTAGCCAATCAAATTTATATTCACTTTATATTACAATTTTATGAAAATATAATTCAAAAAACGCTTAAATCATTCACACCAAAAATGTGAAAAATGTTAAACAAGAAAGTATAATTTCAAAAATTGCAGTGTCGACGGTGTTTCTTTAGTTGTCCAACTGTTCAGGCACCTAAAGGCATTTCGGGAATCACATTTTGGGTCCAACTTTACGGCAAACATATTTTGTATTCATGTATATGTACGTATGTATATATGTATTTTAACGGAAGTGAAGATGTGCGTCCCCGGACATAAATGAGAAGATAAGGTGATCGCGGCAACTCGCACTTCTGCTGACGGAGGCCTGTACGCTTTTGAAACGTCAGGACGATAAAACGATGGTTTCCGAGATAGTCTTATGGTCTCATATATGCATGTATACATAGGAAGCCGATCTTCTGAAGGCTTAATGAATGCACAGTACATTTACAGTAAGACAAATGTCGCAACCACGTTTAATATGCTAAGGTAAAAAAAATATATACTGGTGTTAGTCTTTGATTCACTGCCATTCAGTATAGACGTAAAGTATATCGCAGGTTGTTCTGCAAAAAAATCGCACTAACGAAACATGCCACCAAAGACGCTTTGTCAAAGAAAGATGCAATTAGTATTTTGGGCAGCAGGGATGCCTTCGGCCGTCACCACTTTGCTTAGTTGACGGTGCCATGGTCGGACTATTACCCAACTAAAGAAGAACATGTTGAGGTCTAGTCGGGCGCGTTCGCCAAAGACATTGTATCGATGAGCATATAGGTGATTTGTGGGCTCAAACCCAAGTAGGTGTCAGTAAGAAACCAGGATCGCGGACAATCAGGAATGCCTAGAGCAGGCTACTTAATGACTGTCTGTAAGGTAGAGGAAATAAGTCAGATTTCTTCAATTTATCCTGATACGCTAACTCTTCAAATACGTCGGCCATGTCCGGTGGTTTCTCGCAGCTTTTAGACAATTTCAATGTTGTTCTCATCTCGTAAGTCCAGGCTGGTATTCCGTACTCGAAAAAAGGTCTCTTAAAACCTGGAAATGTAATATTCCCATGGGTATTGTTAAAACAAGTTAATTCTAGACATCGGCATAGAAAAAAGTGTACAATCTATTATCCCTAGCTGACCATGGGTGACTGGCAAGTATATTTAAAGTAAAGGCATCGTCAGGTTGGTAAATTAAGTCCCCGTGAAAACCATTAAAGTTGCTTGTACAACTAGTTAAGGCGACCTGGCTTCTCATCCGGCATATGAGTCGTCGTTAATTTTGAGGGAGTTTGCTCCACTTTATTACTTAAAGCTTTTCCGAAGTTGGACCCTCTTT